TACAGCAACTCAACGTCTGAACTCGCGATAGAGCGCGAATTATGATTGGAGCGCATTGGTTTGTCGCAATTTCGCTAAGCTAGGTTATTCGTCATGCTTTACACAAACCCTTCTCTTTTGAGTCCTCAAACTCATATCCAGAAAATAATGCGATTTCAGTGAGAAATCACCAAGCTGTTTGGCATCCGGGCCCAACTTTGCTTTGAAGGGCTTTAAAGATCATACATATCAAGCTTCCTCGCTGCAGTAATGCCTTTTTGTGGAATTATGGAATGTATAACTAAACTAAACACCTTTCGTGCTTTCCACGTCAACCTAGATGTCAAAAATCCACGAAGAGGCCTTGTGAAATGAAATGAAAGTGAGATTCTTAAAAGCAGTAGTTCGGCAAAACCGAATATCTCGAAATTTTGATATAGAAGGTTTCCTGCGTCCCAAACATCAAAACAGAGCAGGTCCGAGCGCCCAACATGCTGCTCCTGCCTAGAAAACAGCCCCCAAACCCGTGCGCGCAAGCCATTCTTACACGCTTCGGACGAGCTTGCGGTCTCCCTTCCACCGTTAGAGGCGGCATGTCGCAGTGCTATAAATATGTGGGTCCCGTGACGACTCTGCGTCTCTAACCATGACGGGTAGTGGTCCACTCGTCCAAATCCAAAATGAGAACCCTTGGAAAATGCTGGTTTTGACATTTTCGTGCTTTTCAAAGTGTATTTTCAAAACCAGCGCGTCGAATTACCCCAGGTAAGCGAAAAAAATTCAGTTCGAGGATTTGCCGAGCCACTGCCTTTGATCAGCACGTCAGATAACCCTTTGCACGGGTTTCCCCCCCTATGATTTCACCCCACCATATAGCTATCGTAATTCAATGAAAAGTCTGAAGAGCAAGAAGAAAACGGTATTTACGTATAGCATGCGGAATAACCCCTCTAGGCAAGGTTTGGCTGATTTGAAATTTTGAGACATATGCTGTACACCCGCTGTAATTCGGAAAAATCACACTACTGTGCGAATTTAACGTGATTTTCAAGTTCTGCTTGCCTATTAACCCCTTAGGCGAGTTTTGAGCGAATCCGCTATTCTAGCTCCTACATACTACTGCTAGGCGTTCTTGAGCGGAAAAGTGTGATGTCTGTGATCAGCATGTGAGACATTTCCTCTAAATGATGTTTGAACAAATTCTACGTGAGGAAACTGAAATGGCGCCACAATTTTGAATGTGCAAGTGACAAACAATGACAGAATCGGTATTACTGATAGCAGCCCCTCGCCAAATTACAAACCATTAGGAACTCTTGCACCGCTTTGAAAGTCACTTACTGGGAGAAGAAAGTTTAATCGGTATATGCTTGCGCCTTCAATTCCACGCGTGGAAACTAGTTGGGAATGCACGAGAATTAGGCTCCTTTAGTGCCTTTTCAATAATTGTCATACCCTTCATGAGCAGGGTCAAGCGTGGGGTGCGGCACGCCACACCTGGAGGGTCGTATTGAGGAGTCAAAAGGGGAGGGGATCGTAGTTGGGTAATCTAATAATAGTGATAACATGATGTTCGTATCATATTTATAATTAGCATGTCAAATAACCCCTGTAGACAAAGTATGAGCGAATTCTGAAGATTCAAGATACTAGGCTACCTAAATGAAATGGTCGAATTCGAACACGATTAACTTTGTTTCAAAGGTGAATTAGCTATCCATTTTTGCACTCAAGACGAAGCCTTACTCCTTCTTTGTCCACCTCAGGAATTCCGCTTCAGAAGACCGGCAAACTCTGGAATTAGAAGCCAACCAAAATCTTTCTCATTTTTCGCTTTTGATCGCTGTGCTTTCACCAAATATTGCTCAGAGCTAAGAAAACGTGAGGCTCAAAACAGTCCTATGGAATCTATAATGTTTAGGCTATCGATTCATATAAATATTGTCCGCTAAAAATGTTTTTTTGATTTAGTTAATGGGGTGCCGCACACCCCCTTAACTTGTCTTCAAAATCCAGAAAGCGCTCCATTGCTGGTATGAGTATTGAGCACATAGCTTTTTCTTGCTACATTGGAAATTTGGAGCCGAACGCCCCATCCATAAGAAAATTATGGCCCTTTCAATATGCCCATACAGATCAAAATCAGCCGTCAAATTACGTGTGATTGTAAAGTGCAGTCACAGAAAATCGGGCGTACAGCTCTCAAAAATCTGAAAACTCTCTAGAAAAAGATAGTGTCCTCCAGAATTTCACACTTTGTGATCCAGAGGTTAAGAGGAGGAAACAGGGGTCGTTTGAGGGCTTTCATGGGAGGGGGGGGGGCTTCGAAAGACTTGTGCCTGACCTCTTTCTCAACTCTGGTAATGCTATCTTAGGTATATAGTTCAGCGGGAGGGGGGGGGGGGGGTCTTATTAAGACAGCAATCAGGAAAGGGGTCGTAACCAGCGATCGTGTGCCACACCCCTTGCTTGACCCTGTTCATGAGCTTGTTCATACTGTAAGGTAGGTATTGGCTCTCGACTCCGGGCAATGATTTGAGGTAGCTTCGAATGGCTTGAACGGCTGTTGTTTATGCCCATGTCCTCCTGAGGTGCAGAATAATTGTAAATCGTTAGCAGATATCGTGCTCCCCAAAATTGTTCTCATAGGTACTATCAACATGGCTGCTTTCGATCATTTTAACATGTCAAGTTCGAATAAGCGCTTTAACTTTAATGCTAACGTCCACCATAGATTGAATTCACTTGCTTATCTGTTTGTTGCATCTTCACTCGCACAAAATTTAGATGCTTACAGGGAATTTCAGAAGAAAATTCTGCTTCAATTCATAATCCGCTCCATCGCGAATTCAGTCGTTGAGTTGCTGCAATCTTCCGTCTCTCATTTGCTTGCTTCGACTAATCATCCAGAGACCGCGCTCGAGCGCTCTCTGGGTGTCCGCTTAAGCTTTCGACGTGATTACGTTATCGCCCTATGTCTCCAACGTATAATGGAGCGCCAAGAGAACGGTTGAGTCAAACAGGTGGGCGCGAAGCTCCACATCTGTCAGTTGGTCGGTGGCTTCCTTCAAAGACCTGAATACCGCCCAGGCTTCTCTTCTTCTCCTGCTAAGCTATGATGTCATATCGTTGTTTATGCTCATCAAACGTCCAAACACGAGAGGACGCCTTGTAACTGGTGTGCCTTCCAATTTCATTTCCGCAGTTTTGCAGAGAGCGTTCCTCATGAGCTGAGTCTACTTTTAACTCATTCACAACCTGATCTACTTCTCCACTTCGTCTAGTCCCTTAAGCAAAAGATATTGAGTCGCACCGGGGTCTGGCAAGGAGATATAAATCATCGTGACATTTTCGAGACACTGTTATCATGTCCGCTTTCCATTGAGAGATGTTCTCTGAAAAATAGCGGATACCTTTTATTTAAAGATTTAAACGTGCCTACAGACGAATCGAATTCGAATATTGATGCATCTTTGATCGAAACGCTGGTAGTGCAGTTGGCAGGGCGATTCGATTTCAGCCATGGGTACCGGGTCCAGTTTTCATGACCCCTTTTTTCGTTTGTTGCAAATTCCCCAGTTTTAATTGAAAATCATCTTAAGTAGCGATTATCACTACTTGCTGTTGTGAATGCGTTTCGAAACCTTTCTGCCGCAGTAAGATGCATGAGCACTGTACTCACCTTACACAAGGCAAAACCTGTAGATTCAGGAGTCTTTAATTTCACAGAACCGTTTCGCGGATTTGAAACGCAGACATGTTATTAGTGTTCTGAAGAGACCTTAATGATACACAATTCCTCGCTAAGAGTAATACGATTCGGTATCCTTTTTTTTGTCAAACCAAAGGGTCAGATTGCATATAAAAGAGTGGTCAGAATTTGAGGAGGCCAATCCAACCTAGCTGCAAACCATTGAGTGCAGCTTAATAAGCTAACTCTAAATTGTCTCCCGTATCCGCTGAAGCAAACCATTGTAAAAGAAGTTATGAGCAATCTTAGGGTTGTTTCAGACTGCCGCACTGACCGCAGCAGACTGCAGCTCGCACTGACCGCAGCTGACTGCAGCAGACTGCAGCTGACCACGTTGAACGCGGGGCCGTACAGATCGCTACATCCTCTCGTGAAGGTGAAGAGGATAGATAGTTGTAGCTCAAACAATCTCTTAATAATACATGCCGCAATAGACAACACGAGCGGAAGTAAAATAGGTATATGCAGTGACAAAAGGGATCTGAACAAATATGAGCATTTTAAAGAAAAACAATCGCCAGAATTTGATTGAGAAGAGTAAGCTAGAATTTATGAACTTTCTAGGCGTAAATCAAGGTGTTTTGATGTATTCGCAACTATTTTCTCTTTTACGAAAGGATGCAGCGATTGTGCGGCCGTTGCAATCAGTGCGGTCAGCTGCAGTCTGTTGCAGTCTGCTGCAGTCAGTGTGGCAGTATGAAACAACCCTTAACGCGAGGTAGCCGGGGAACGGCCCTTTTGAACCGAGTGCCGTGGCTGCGCTTTTCCGATTGGTCGACACCACTGCTGCTATTGGACAGGAGGCGGGGCAAGGGCGGAGAATCGGACGAGCTCTCTGCACACGCATTGCCACTCACTTTTCGCACACTTGTGACGCGCAACACGGCGAAAAGTTTTGGAATGATGCCAAAATTCGATATTCAGGCCTAATTATTCATTTTGTTTGTGTTTTACACTTGGTTGGAGTCTTTTGAAGCCCCAGTATGTGTTCTTACTCGGAACTACATCAGTTTCCGAGGCTGTGGTCAGGTGAAAGTTGTAGATTTTGCTAAGTGACCTCACTTTCTACGTTACAGTCAAAGTGCCTTTATAACCGCACTATTTTCTTGGACTAGATAGAATCAAAAAAGATACTTCCTCACTTTTTTTGCCCATAAATGCAAAACAGCTCCCTTTCGTGACTTACGTCCCCTTTAGTTCATGTCAACGCAATATATCGCTCCGATTTAGAATAAATTTTCAAATCCGCTCCATTTTCACCGTTCGTCTGATGTCTGTTGTGTCTGTTTACCTCTTCAATGTGGCTTCCCTGTTTCCCAACGTTCCATTCTGCTCAGGTCCACTCACCGGTCCTACCCATTTCGGTCTGATTCGTCTCAACCAGCAACTTGGTAAGATTTGAAGATAAGATTTGCCTTGGTAGCTGTCATTATGATTGAAGAATCTGCCCTTTTTTGATTTCAGCTTTCGGATTCTCTGTCACAGCGCCAACCGTGCTAAGTTTCTTGCTTTCACGTAAGTACTTTCCGAATGCTTGTTTGAGAGGTCGTCAGACCGTTTTGTTTATACGAAGATGTTATGATTCCATGAGTTTTGTGGTGACAAACTAAGCGATTAGGTGCTTGTGTTTTTCTGGTTTTTTTTCTTAATGTAACGCATGTATAATCGATTCGTTGACCGCATGGACTGGACATCACTGCGGAGCACGCGCCGCACGTAAAACGCTTGCCCCAGTACAAATTTGCTATTGTACAAGCCGTGCTCTCGCAACGTTTCCGCGCCGCGCACAGTTCGCAGCGTTTGTGCAGTCCGTGCGGTCAACGGATCGAGTAGCAATTACCCTAAATCTGCGCTTCGCCTAATTTGCCCAACTCTTCTTGATCTTTCCGGCAATTTTGCGACGTCGAGCCTACGTTTCGCGGCGTGCCACGATTGGAACAGAGGTGTTGTAACACTATCGCGTATTTTTTTAGTCACGTCAGTACTACTTTAGTCACAGTCATTGAATTTTTGTCTTTTTGCGTTCCAAATTCCTTTATGTTTGCTGGGTTCATCTGCTCAGCGGTTTCCTTGCAATGTTCATAGCTTTCATAGCTCGTCGATAGGGGACTCGCAGATTTGATCAAGTCTGTTTGCAGGTCGAGCACTTGCAATCGAAGATGATGGCTGCTAGTCGGTTGTGTCGCAGCGAAAGTTGCCGTGCAGTGGTGCAGTGCAGTTATGATTCGTTGATTCAGTCAGACAGTCATGGTGTTGTAACTGCAGTGGATTCGTGTCGTTGAGCGCAACGAACTGACTGCACATTGCGGAACACGCTTCGCGTGGCCGAAATTTGTACCAGTGGTAATCGTAACAGAAGTCGTTCTCTCGTGACAGATACAGCCGCGCCGCGCGTCCTCCGCAATGTACAACTAGTGTGCGGTCAACGACTTGACATGTACAGTAACTTTTGAATAATCTGGTTGACCCTATCTTGCGCGTTTCATAAGGTAGATGTAATCACTTTTTTCGGAGAAATGAGAAATATTTGTCGTGCAGCTCATCATGCAGTTTCCCCATAATGCCATTGTGTGTCATAAGAACCAATCGTCTATGAGTTCTGTATGCGTTTTATCAGCACCTTCTGTCGTTTCCTATTCATTACTAGAGTTTCCATGATTGCAATACAAGTTGTAGTATCCTGTGTGAGTCACAATATGCTGACTTTGCGCTTAGGTGGCGAACATCGCCTGAGCGTTTCTTATCCAACACACGGCCCATTCGCCTGAGATTGCTCTATCTTTTGTATGCTTCTTATATTTTGGACGTTGCCGCAACATGACTAAATGGATTTTCAAGGTCTAGCTATTTTGCTAGTAGCGGATTAGCATGAGAAGGTGAGTCAGAAAAACGTCGCAAATGTTTTTTGAACATGATGGCAAACAAGTACACTGCGAACAGTCTGCGCGTTTGCTGTCGTCACACAATATGCTTGAGTTCGAGAAGTATGTAGTACTACAGTACCCACACTAATTATTCGACAGAAAACGCAAAAACTGACGATCCGCGTTTTTTTCGTTTTTTCTTCATAACTTCCTTCAAATTGCATAAAATACAAATCCGAAGAAAGCATGATGCTCAGCTCGTCAAGATGAATCTTTCGATATATTGCACCCTCGTACTATTCTGTTTTCAATCTGCTCGATTTTTGTATGAGGACGGGTATTCGTAGTGGTGTAACTCAGCGAAGAACACACTTGGACGATTCAAGTAAACATGAGTCAGTAGTGCTGTCCCCGTAGATTATCACGTATTAGTGAGTAGCAAAGGATTCCCTTTTCATAGGGAAAGATAGGCCGTTTAATTTTGAACAAATCGATGTCTCTCAAATTTTCGTTACCGTAACCCTACAGTAAGACGCTAATTTGCAAAGCAGGTGTGTTTTTCGTGATCAGCAGGTTAGATAACCTCTATGCGCAAGTTTTCCAAGGAATTCAGAACCTTTTATTTTTTCTCGTTCTAAGCTGTGAAGCTCGCCGACGGGTTTTGGCTAAAATATTGATAATCTTGGATTGACCGGAAACTTCGCCCATAGAGGTTTTCGGACTCGCTGATTACAGAAATAGTGCCCTCTGTGCAGCATAAGTTCTTTTGGCAGAGTTATGCTGAGAGGAATACTGCGATACTACGCAAGTTCCTAAGTTTGTCTGCCCTTTGCGCGTGTCTGTTGGACAACTTACCTGCTCCTTTTTGTAATTTGAAATCACTAGAGGCAGTGCTCTTAGAGCATGCTTAAACTAGGCCTTTACCTATATTGGTCGCCGAACTGTGAGCTGACGAACTCACGTCCGCATGAAAATCGTTCGAAATTTTAAGATCGCACATTTTGGCCAAATATCGCCGCAATGGTTACAGATGACTGATTGCAGATATTATGTTTATATATACACATGTTAATTGCTAATTTATGCCGCATACTGCTGCTTACCCCTTGTGCCAACTCTTACACCTGTAACTCAAAGTTTGCAAAAAATCGATAAGCCGATATCGACCGATGACGAAATGTAATCTATCAGACCAGTTCGGCTCCTAAGGCTAGGTTCATACTAATTCCCACGTTCCGGAACTGTTCCCGCACCGTCCCGCAATGCTCCCGCGCTGTGCTGAGAACTGTGCGGGAACTGCAACTGTGCTGCAAGCGCTGCAGCCGCCCCACACGCGTTTTGAACGGCGGGAGTTGGAGAATTTTGACCGTTTTCAACGGTATTTCTTCCAAATTTCTCTCATTTTGGCCTTATTCCTCTACCCCGCTCCTTTTTTTTGATCAGCAGAACTTCGATCTCGAAGAGGGGTTGAAGAATGAGCGCTTTTCTGTTCTGCGTATGAGACAAAATGTGTGTTCTTGCGCTCGTCCATTTTCTCTTCGCTTTATTTTTACACAGACTCATTCCATTTGTTCCAGGAAGCCCCTGCGCAGTTTCCATAGCCATCTGCTATGAATTAGGGAGTAGGAGCAATTACGAAATTGCATGAATTGAGACTTGTCTCTTGTTTTGATGAGTTTCGTTTTTGGGCATTCTCCGCCCTTTCCTTTTTCCATACCGTTGTTTCTCCTTTCTTTCTTCTGTCCCGCTTCTCCTTGTGATGAGAAAAGCTGTGAACTTGAAGCGGAGTTGAGGATTGAACGCGGTTCCCATCGTGTATCCGGGAGGTGAACCTTCTTGCGCTCGTCCATCTTCTCTGCCATTTTTGTTCAGGCCTACTTCATGTGTTCTAGAGACCTGTCCATGTCCCTTTCAATACAAATGCGAGACTACGCATCGCCTTCTAGAGCACATGAAGCAGGCCTGGGCAAAAATGGAAGAAAATGGACAAGCGCAAAAAGAGCAATCTGCTCGGAGTACTCTGCGTTGATACCACTGCTT